TGCTCAACTGACTCAAAGTAAAGGATTGCTTTTTCTGAAATGACTCAAATGAAGGATCATGATAATAATTTATTGTTTACTGATTTTAATAAACTATAATTTACCTGTTTTGATGAGGTAATATTACAGTATACTCTTACATTCATGTTTGCACGAATAAAATAAAGTTGTGATGACATGTGGTTAGAGACATGTTTGATTAAATGCTCATTTCATATTTTTCAGTTCAGTCCTTGAAATTTCTTGGTGACAACATAACTGATTAATCATGAAATTGTGGCTCTGAATAATAATGAAAGCTTTAAACACCATCTGACCATAAATCCCTGAACCACTTAACAGTAGAGATTTTCATAGTATTACCTGTAAGAAATACTAAAGTGCACTGTCACCTCATTTATTAATTATCGAGGATATTTTTCTTTTTCTATTGCGACTTTTAGTATTATAGGACCAGGAATTTGATAAATATCTTATTTTGCTCAAGCGTGGACTGATCAAAAAAACACGTGAATGCTGCCACGACAGGTTTTTATTCATGCATTCATGTACTGAACACTTGGGGGCATCAATGACCCATTAACGCAGGGGTGTCAAACTCCAGGCCTCGAGGGTCGGTGTCCTGCAGGTTTTAGATCTCACCCTGGGTCAACACACCTGAATCAAATGATTAGTTCATTAACAGGCCTCTGGAGAACTTCAAGACATGTTGAGGAGGTCATTTAGCCATTTAAATCAGCTGTGTTGGATCAAGGACACATCTAAAACTTGCAGGACACCGGCCCTCGAGGCCTGGAGTTCTACACCTGTGCATTAACGCAAGTGAATGTTTCGCCACTCAAAAAGCAAGTTTTTTTTTCCTAATGATAAGTGAAAAAAATCCACTTTTATGTTCGCTCTGTTTGGATTATAAAGAGAGACTCGCTCTTTAGCTGCTATTTTTTAATCCTCTAACAGAAGAAATCGCGGTGTTTTATGTCATAAGTCAAGTTACAGCTTTGAAGCGTCAGTAGCGGAATTTGCGGGAAAATCGGGAATATGGCGACCCTAGAATGCACCTCCCATTGACAGGAAACTGTCAACAAGCCACGGCTCTTTAAAGAGATTCAAATTTGCTGTGATTTTGTGCGGGAAAATGACTCACAGTAAGGACCTGTTTGAGTGCTCCATCTGTACACAGTTACTGAATGATCCAGTGACTACTACAGCTTCTGTGTGAAATGCATCTATACCCACTGGGATACCAAAAGAAACAGAAGGAGAACGTATAGCTGCCCTCTGTGCAGAGAGACTTTCAATGAGAGACCTGTTCTGAAGAGGAGCACCATCCTGGCTAACTTGGTTGAGGAGTATAAGAAGAAGGCAAGCAGCCAGGGTGCTGGTGCACCTGGGGATGCGCAGTGTGACATTTGCACGGAGAGAAAACATAAAGCTTGCATGTTCTGTCAGGTGTGTTTGGCCTCTTACTGCCAGACTCATCTGGAACCTTATTTTATTGTACCGCCTCTTAAAAAATACAGACTGATCACAGCTTCTATAAATATCAAAGAAAGCATCTGTTGCCTTAGAGATAGGGTGAGAAG